TCTCGGAAATTTTCTTTGCCTATAGCATATTACTCCGAAGATTCGAGTGAAGCATGGCACAAATTAAACAGGAGGAATATGATACATAGGGCTCGCCAAGACAGTGGACAACATAGACTTTTGGATGTATTTAATCGAGCCATGTACTTATCAGATCCAAAAATATCACTCTTACATCTTGGAGAACGTTTACAGTCACAAAAGCAAACTCAATGTTTTCTAGAAAAAATTGAAAGTTTTTTTATAAGGTATTTTTTTCTACGATTGTGATATTAATAAATTATTAACTTATATTATTTAAATCTATGAAATGATTTATAATTTGTACTACTGTAACAATTCAAGATAAAGATAATATCGAGGATAGAAGCTTAAAAGATCCTTTGGATTGCACAATTGATGATGTTTTCAATTTTGAAGATTCTTATAGTGATTACGATTAACGAGGTAGTTATATATTCAAAATCTATGTTCGTAATGCTCCGTTCATTTTTTAATCGCGAATTAGCCGCATTTCAAGGAGTATTTCGCATTAAAAATGATAACGGATAGTGTTAGGCCACGTCTGACTACGGAGTAGTGTTCAGCGGAAAAAATTACATAGAAATAATCTATAGAATATGCTTGTTATAGATATTTTCTGTCTTGTGTGCTGAGATTATAGACTCGTTGAAAATGTTGATACTTTGACCAAATTTTTTTTGTTCAAAAATAAACAAAAAAAAATTTTGAATGACAGGTTATTATGTGTTATTGAAAAAGCTACAAAATGGCCTATTTACTTTTTAAAAAAAAATTACTGAACCATATTTAAAACTCGAAAAACTCTTTTTTCTTGAGAAAATTTGAACTTTGACCTTCATTTTGAAGGTCAAAAGTTTAAGTGATTCATACGCGACCGTTTTTCCTTTATTCTACATCATTTCAGCTTTAAAATGCCGTTGGGTTCATTTCGCTAGGGGTATTGGTTCGCGATTTATTTCATTTTGGAGATTTGTTTCTGATTTGGAACACTGTGCGCCGGTTCGGGGCGGACCACAACTGCCTTTCTACCGTGGGGTCCTCACCCGCGGACCCTACCACAAGATTTATGTGGATGGGCCCTGTTGCTTGGCCCCCCGTGGCTGCCGTCCACATTGACCACCTGGTTTACCCCGCACGTTCGCGAGCCCTGGTATGCCATGGCCTCTAACCTGGCCTTCGGAGCTGCTGATATGGCTCCGATGATTGGAGGCTGGGAGAGGCCCACAGGTGTGTCACTCACCATGCCCTCGAGGGCCTGGCGGTGACGCCGCTGGACTTCCTTCAGCGCGAGCGCGAACTGGCGCCGGCGGGACACCACCTGACTCCAGTGTACTAAGTCACTGGTGCGATGTCCCGCGGCCGTATACGCGTCGTATTCTGCTTATACGGCTCGCTGGAGGGTGTTGAGGGTAGTCCAGCCTTGTTCGACCTCCCTCAAACCCTCCACGATTTCCTCCCAGGTCCGTTCGCCAGGCGAGGATGCCTTACTAGTGAACCTGGGGCGCCAGGTCTCATCGCCGAAGGTCGTCTCTTCTGTTTGCATGTTCCTATGGAGGTTGATGGGGCTCTCATCGGGATTGCAGCCGCCGTTACCCCCGGCAATTGGGTTGCCTCGTCTCGTACGACGCCCTGCACCGTCGAGGGGGGCAATGGTTCTTCACCTGGGAGTTCCTCGATGATCACGGATGACGAGCTCGCGTGAGCTCGCATCTGTGCTTGTTCTTCTTCTTCTTTCTTCTCCCCCAGAAGGTGCAGGGCGGCGTGTACGACGCCCTCGACGGCGGGGCCCAATTCTAGTCCGATGAGGGCGGCCGCCGCCTGCTCGAGCGTGATCTGCATCATGTAACAATCCCACACATCAGTATCCAGAATATTTTCCTCGGGGATTGAAGGTGGGCGCCTGTTCAGCTTCCCAGGGCCTTCGTCGCCGGGGTCGAAGGTGGGGTCCTTGGCGTCGGTCTCCCAGGTCCTTCGTTCGCAGGGCCTCATGCGTCCGCAGTCGGTATTCGTGGTGGTCTACCCCTCTTCTTTTTCCCGACGATGGGAGGGGGAACACGTGTATTCTGTCGATGCAGTGTAGTGTGTGTGGTTGGTGCATACTTGCGAGGTCTCCCCCGCGGGCGCTTCACCACGATAGTTCATTGGGTGGTTATTGGGATCTTGGCGAAGGGATCGGAAAGGACGTAACGAGGTGGGCTCGAAGTTGTGGCGTTGTCATTCCGGAGTGCGTCACCTGTAGTGTCGGCACATCCGTTTCCGCGTATCGTCGCATCGCTCGCATTAGGCGTGACGCTCGTCGCCTTAGTTCCCTCGGTGGTAGAGATCTCGTCGTCATCTCGTCGTCGGGTCCCATCGTGAATAATCAACAAACCAAGGTATGTGGCCTCGGGCTTGTAGAAGACGCTCTCCTCTCGCTTAATCGAGAGTCCGGCTCGCCATAACCTATCCAATACGGTTTTAAGATGTCGTAGGTGATCTTCAAATTTGGACGATACTACTATGATGTCATTCAAATAGGTGAGGGCGAAATCGCCGAGCTCAGGTCTGATCACGCTATCTATTAACCGTTGGAAGGTGGCGTCGGCGTGCGAGGGACCGAATGGCATTCGTACGAACTGGAAATGTCTCAGTTCGGGCACGGTAAAGGCAGTGATAGGTCGAGATTCTGTTTTGAGTGGTATCGTTTCACCGACCTGAATCTCGTGTTCAATGCCTGTTGCGCATCCCAGTCCCACAGGGGCCTGCGATAAGGCCTCGCCGATGGTCTTCTGCAATATCGCCTGTTGAGAGGCTGTTACTTCGGCTAGTCCGATAGTAGCTAATCTCGGACCAGCCTCCAAACTAGCTACCTCTAGTTTCATCTTGGTTTATGATTTCTTGAGCAGTAATGTATCATCATCCGGATCAAGTACCGCTTTAAATAACCTAATAAAGTTCACTCCTAGGATACATTCCTCGACGAGGGTTGGAAGGATAGCTACCCTCGTCGGCATTGTCATCTCCCCTACGGTGAACGGCAACATAGCATGGCAAACGATCGTCAACTTACGACGATCGGGTAGTCCTGCCGTACCCGCGTGAGTGGTATCTAACCTGACGCCTAGCACAGACGCTATCTGCAGAGCATTATTACCCATTGCTGTGGTGGAAACTCCCGGATCATAGAGAGCCCGTATCTGGAAGTTATTTTCACCGGTAGCCACCAGCGCGTTTCCTGTTCCGGGGAATATCGGGAAACAGATTCGGCGGCTCCACAGCTCTGCTCCTTGCATACTATAGCGCTAGCCTTTGTGCTCTCGCGTGGTAAAGTGACGTCCCTTGTCGTTCGTACCACCTCGGTTCGAACGATCGGAGTTTCCATAGGGGTACCCTTTGACGGTTTATCTGCCGCTACCCGCGCCCTCGAGAGCGTGTGCGATCCATTCGCCACCACCTCGGCCGGTCCAGGGTCTTGGGCTTTACTGACGTCATTACCCTGTCTCTCCGCGTTCACTCTACCGCCACGTTCGTCATCGGCGTCACCAAGGGAGTTCTCGCTCTCGTCGCTCAACACGCTCGCTACAAACGGTGAGGACTGTGTTGACGAAGGCCGCGAGATCTCGTTAACGGGGTTTGGGTTAGGGGATGAAGGAGTGGGGTCAACCCCACCTAACCACTCCTTTCCTCGTTTCCCTTATTGCATTGGGGACAGTACTTCCTGCTGTACCCCAGTAAACCACACTTGATGCATTTGAGTGGCTTAGAGAAATCCCTCTCTCGTCTGCGAGGAGCTTCCGGCTTCTTAGCTCGGTCCTCAGAGGTCAGGTTTTTCCCGGCGAAGTTATTCTTCATCTCTTCCGATATCTTCTTGAGGGATAGTAGCACTTGGCTGAGTATATGGGTGAGTGGAGCCTTCTTCTCGCCATTAATTGCTTCTAGGCTCGGACTAGGTGTCGCTCCCGAGGGCGTCGGCGTGTAGACAGCCTGGTGCGTCACCTTTTCGAGCACTTTCTCCATACGGTCTAACCTGTCGGTGACCTCCAGTTTGTCACTGGACATGGCTGCCACCTTGCCCTTACGACCCTTGCTTGCATCGGTGCGAGGGTGGTACGCTAACTCCGGGTACAGAGTTGACTGAGGGTCTGGTACCACCCGTTCTATCCTTCGCTGATATAAGCTGTTCTGGGCCGCCGTTGCCAGCGCGTTCAGAGTCCATATGGGGTTTACTTCGGACCTCCGTACTTGACCTTGGATGTCCGGGAGAAGGTTGGCGTGTAGCAGGTCCAACTGGCTATCAGGCGTCATCTTAGGGTTCAGCCGCTTCATCAGGCCCATCATGTTAGCGACGTAGACGTTCACTGGTTCGTCTGGACCCTGATATTGGCTCTGAATCTCCTTCATTAGACGCTGTTGCTGCTGCACGCTGGTCCCGAACCATTCTCTTGCGTCCATCTCGAACTCAGCGTAGGAGAGCCATTCCTCCCTCATCGCCTCTCGTACCAGGTGAGGGCAGGACCGACGAGAAGCTTGTGTACGGCTATGAGCATCTCGTCTTCCGTGAGTCCTGCGCCACCCCTCAAGTTATCCAGTCTAGACAGGAAGGTGTCGATGCTTGCATTGCCCTCTCCTGAAAACTTGAGTTTCCATCCTCGGACAATGCGACCAACATCCCTTGTAGTCGACCAATGATTTGGTGTCTGCTAGGATGACTTCATAATAATTTCTATGGAAATTGGCTAAGATCCAAAAATATTTAAGAAGTTTTTAAGTTTTTAGTTAAAATCTTCGACAGTCTATGAAAACACTGTATTTCAAGAAATTTTAAGCAAAAATACTGAATACGAGAATTTAAAAAAGGGGAGGATCCGGAGAATAGCTGGGTCTATAAAGAGGAGGGAAGGAACACTCAGGATTCTTTAAGACTATATATATAGGTAGATATATAGTTGTTTATATGTAAAATCGATTAAAATACAAATAAAATATTATTTTTTCAGTTCTTTTATGTTCCATTGGTATGATTGCTTGGACCATTGAATTTCGCAGTCAATTATATACAAATGTATTACCTAAAGAAGATTTAGAAAATTATTGGACTAGCGAAGGTGTAACCAAGTTAGGATTTTCATTTTGGTAAGACTGCTACTATAATATTCAAAACTTTCAAAAACCATTTACTCTGTGTATAAGATTACTATTATAAAAATGCTCCATCTGTGCAAATGGTTATATATTTAAACTATTTGTATTTAATTCATTGTCTTTGGGCTTAAAATTATAATAAATATTTGCCTTATTATTTTTCGTTTGTCATTTTCATCTAAAATAAATTTATAAGTTTTGATGCTGTTTCCCTGTTTACAATGTGCCGAAACCCTGGCTTTTTATTGGCCCTCCTCGTTGTAGTCTCTCCCTCCCCTTTTTTCACTGTCTTTGCTGGAAATCACTGTCCAGCGTGAGCTGTGATATGTGTGCTCATGCTTGACTTTGGTTTGTTTGACTCAGCAGTGGATAATTTCGATGATGAAGCGGAGTACCACTGAAGTGTGAAAGAAAGAGAGAGCATGATGATCGATTATATAAGTATCACTAGTGAGCAATTAGACATACCCTTTAATAAACGTTGGCCGCCGGGGAACATAGAGACAGCTATAGGCAATAATAGAATTTTGGAAAGTAAGAATCGTTTTAGCACGGAGAGGAACCAGTAGCTTGGAAGATCATGAAAACTAGCGATCCAGGGCTACATTGTGAAGAATGAGTCAGCATTTCTCTGCAACCATTTTCAGCTCAACATCGAGGAAGGTATTCCCATTAAAGTTAGGTCGCTCTCTTTTTAACTGGGTCGGTAAACTGCGTCACATACGTAGAAACTCGGCGTTTATCCACCTGACAGCGTTTATCCCTTCTCTCTATAATACGTTCCTTTATTCTTACAATAGAGTTTCTGACGTTAATCTGTCGATTTCCTTAGACACCGGACACGCAAGCGAACATGAAAGAACGCGTAATTTGATTTGTGTACGTTATTATGGCGGTCCATCGACAAGTGGCCAGAGCGAACATTGTATTAGTGCTAAGAAATAAAAGTAAGCCACTGCGAAATTGTGAATGATTATTGTGTTCGCTTTCACCCGTATTTTCAGGTGCAGCACAGGATCGCAGAATGGCCCGCTCTGCGTCCTGAAAAGTATTTTGCCTTCACGGTGCGTCAGAAGGTACTAAAAATGAAGTCAGAATAATTTTCTCGGGTAAATTTTTTTTCACACTTTATATCACAGTTTCAGTCATTAATACTTTTTCCGAAAATATTTTATAAAAGGCTTTTAAAGAAAAAAATTTTTAAAGTGAAAAAAAAAAATATTTTTATGAAAATTTATTTAAATAGCAAAAAAACAAAAAAAAAATGGATTTTAACACTTGTTAACAATATTTATTTGTAAAATATATACATTTCAGGGACATTTTTTAATGATAAATTGATTCAAGAAAATCACACGCTGTTCATTTAACAAAGATATAATTGTAATAATTTCAGTTCAATATTCGAGAATATCTTACTCTAAATGTTTTCTCTCAAGTTGAAATACTTCAAAGTATCTATAAACATAGCTTGACGGCTTCAAATTCTTGATATGTAAACATTAATCAGGAGACCTAGCACATTCGTAGAGATAACATGTAATCTTTTCATTGTAAGTTCATGTTTATAATCTGACGAAAATATTTCCTAAATATAATAAATAATTGTGCACGCATGGAGACAAAATAATGGTATAAATGTTCGGGAAAGAATTTCGTGTTTTGTGGACCTTTCTACCCTCGCTCAGCTCGGGCGTAAACGCCACACGAGATAAGAATCTATTTTCCCGCACTTGGATCGTAATGTACTATATTGTATTTGAAAAAATCAAAATTAATGTATGAAATAAAAGATGCTATCTTAGAAAGAAAAAATAAGTTTTATTCTGAATACAATTCAAGTGATGAGAGATTATTAGCAGTTATTTGTTCAAGTTGTAAATTATCGCTGCATCATTTGTATGCTGAGGATAGTAGATAATAGTTAATTTTCTATCGCTAGATAATAGCTAATTTTCTATCGCTAGATAATAGTTAATTTTCTATTCTCTGCATTGTTTTACTCACTGTTTGTTGTTTCTATAAATTGATGTATCAGATATCATACATTTCTCTCAAGTTGATATTTGCCTGTATGGCATGTACGAATCATTCCGTATTAGAGATCACGTTTGAGTGACGGGATAATGATTGGATGTATGGGATGATTATAGTGATTGAATATTCCTAGAATCAAAAATTTATTGATATCAAATATTAACTTCAAGGGTAGCAGACGAATTTTTGCTGTATTGTATTATTTATTGAGTATCGAGTGTTTTTATCTTTTCATTTTATTTATTGTTGATATTAGATTAAGTCCTAACGTAATTATTTATTCTTTCAATGTTTGTAATAGCGTGGGTCTTCGATGCCAACAATTTCGCTACTATTACTGAATTATTTAAGGGGAGGGTAAGGGAGGCGGTGTATCGCTCCTAGCAAAGCAGGAAGGAGAAGTGCATGCAAATAACTTTCACAATATTCCAGGAACTCATCCTTTATTACAACTGCACTATCATAAGTGCTGACGAACTAAACAATTTCACTTATGCTAATATAACAGATCGTCGCTTAATCTAAATAAGACGGCCGGCACGTGAGCGCCTTGCCGTCTCATTAACCGGCTCAAACGACAACTTATACTCTAAAAGAACTAAAGCACTGCTGGAAATTACGCCGACTCGGGGAAAACCTGGCGCAGCAACACGAACCGTGAAATCGCCGAGGAAAAGAGAGATGCAAAGAGAGAGGAGAACAAATAACCTGACCGATGCTGGCGGAAGTTGCTGTAGCTGGCAGTCTTGCAGATGCACCACCGGCAGCCTGGCAGGAAAACTGTTGGTTGCTGCGTTGCTGGCGGTTTGGCAGGAGAACCTGTTGGTTGCTGCGTTGCTGGCAGAGAAACCGGCTCGGCTTATCTGCAGGAAGACTGCTGGCTGCTTGGCTGAATAAAAGGGGGCAGGCTTCACGGTGACGATCACTCAAGCTAATGCGGCCGATTGTACTCGCATGCGTCGCATCACTCAATATTGCGAGTACGTGAGAGCCGGCTTCTCACTCCTTCTCCCTCCACTCGCCTCCTAATCAGCGGCACGCGGCAATGCCAGTCACGACAAGTGCCGCGCGCCAAGTCCAATCACTAGACTCATATATTGCTTCTCTCTCTCTCTCTCTCTCGCTCTCGCACTCCCAATGCTCGATCGCGTCGTCGCGCCTATGGCTTCGCCTTCTGTTCTCGTGCGTTGCTGAAAATAAAGAGGCAGGCATCAGGCACGTGAAAATAACGTGCGTTTGATGCCAGCCGTGTGCCTTCGCCTGGGAGAGAGAATTCAGGCATACACGGTGCAGGCTATGACCAGCCTACACCGTCACATGTTTAATCGAATTTATAGATAGTTACATAAATATTATTTTATTTTCATTCAAAGAAAAAAAAAAAGGGTTTAAGGACTCCCTGTTTTGAGAAAGTTAATATATTCTGTTATATTTGCGAAGTACGAAACGGAATCTCACCGTTGTTTAGTTAATGATCTGATCAAAACTTCATATTTGAAGTATTACGGATTTTCAATGAAAAATTTGGACAAACCATGGGTACCTACGATATAATTTGTAATACTTGTAGAAAAACCTTATCAAAATGGAAACAGAGAAAATCTCTTTAATGTGTTGTACTAGAACCAACTATCTAGCGTAAACCACTTGTAACGGTCGTATCTATGGGCTTCTATACTATTTTCTCCTTTTCACTGCATTACAGCAATCCGCTAAACTTGCAAATCTACACCTATCAATTGGTATATAGAACAACGCCACGTCACGTATTATACGATTGTATTAGCATAAGAATCAAATTTCATGACCATATAAGGAGTGTGACGTTGTAACGAAAGCTTGCTCGTTATCAATATTTAAAGGTGGGCAAGTGAGGCGCACTCATACATAGCAATCAAGGAGGGGGAAAGGAGGGAAAAGGTAAAGGAATGTAATTAACCAAAAATCAAAATCATACTTCAAATACCGTTAAATGAACATACCGTATAATTATAATCACAACAAGCTTTACAAACCCTTAATCTCTAGCGAACATAACGGTCTTACAAACACGTCTTAACTCTACTGAACACAATGGTGTTCTTAGCACATACTACAATGAAAGAACAGAGAACAAATTAACTAATTTACCGCGCTTACCAAATCTAACCGACATACATAACGTGTCGCCCGGCAGGTGATCGCCATGACGACAAACCGACTTAGCCTACTTAAACTAAGAGAAAAAGCCGCCTGGCGAGAGATCGCCTTGACGGTACGCTACCTTAACAAAATTAATGTCGACCGTAATTATAGCAGGTAGCCGGCGCGTACATGCCTTGCTACCTACCTGACCCTTACAACTACTCGTTGTGCCATACCGCTAAGAGAGAGAGAGAGAAAGAGAATGAAATAAGATTAAGAGTATTGACCTTATCGATGCAGGAGCGGGAGGTTTGGCTGCGTCCTGCGGATGGTGTTGCTGGCCGTCGCTGGGCAACTCTTCATCGGCTCCTTCCGAGAAGAGTCCCTAGCAAAATGCTGATGGAATGGCACTTGTCCTTTTTTTCTTTGCCTGGTTTCTCGTTTCAGCTCCCTGGGTGGCTTGTGCGTTCGGCTGTTCTCTACCTCTGAATTGTACTCTGCACCGCAGACCGACTAATGATCGTCTAACCGCTCGTTCGCTTCCGCAATCGACAGCTTCTTCGCTGCTCTTTCTCTCCTAACTTAACCTACTTATTAAGCCGCGCGCAACCAATGCGCTAATTGGTTACGAGTCGCGCGCCTGTCTAATCCTGCGTGGAGTACGCACGCCCCTCTCTCTCTTTTTTTCTAACACCTATCCTTGTCGTCCACTTAATGGCTTTGGGCCGGCTCGGCCTCGCTCGGTAATCTCCGTTGGCTGAAAATAAAGATCATGCATTAGGCGCATTATTAAATGTGCCCAACGCTGGTCATCGTGCCTTGCCGAGAGA